CCGCCTATGGTTCTATAAAGCAGGGTGGCTGTGACATTTCACTATCCCTTAGACAGGTGTTGTACACACTTAGCAGGGATTGCACGTAGCACCAATTCAGTTGAATTGATGTGCACAACAGCCAGTACAAATGTTGCTACAAACTAAATGTTCTTTGGCTTTGCCCACAGAAAAAGCTCTGAGAGGTACTTTTTTTTGCAGCATGCAAGCCCACATCATAAATGACGTACCAACTTAGAACTCTTCCTGCTGCAAAATCAGAACCTAATTCAAAGCGCCAGAGGAAATATCAGATATATTCCTTTGCGCCTAAGGGTTATTAAGAAGAAAAGCAGGACTATGTAGATTTATGCAGTATAGTTTATGGCTTTGCATTTAAGGTGCACATCTAGTCTGCAGTGTTTTTAGTTTGCCTGTGCAGCTCTGATATTGCAGAGCAGGAGATGATCACTGGAACAAAAAGCTATTATTAACCTGTCACTACTGACATTAATTACGACGGGTGCCCAGTTCAGATCCTCAAGGGGCCGTATTCTGTCTGGTTTATATGGGTCACTATGATTTAAAGACACTCTAAACATACCTGTGTACCTTTAGGAAAAGCCTTGGTCTTACATTTGTTTGTCTTTTCTCATTATTTTTATTTAAGCATGTGCTGAATGTTAAAAGAGTGTAGAGGTCTCTGAGTGTCTGGATACACCTTTCTTTTTCTCTCTTTTTTTTAATTGAAAGCATGAGAACAAGAGAGGGGTGCAATGATGTTAATGCCCCCCCCAGCCTCCAGAGGAGGGAACACCTGGACCCCACCTTGGGGAACGAGTGCAGGGAATGTTCTCTCCAACACAACTGTGGCTGTAATGACTGAGGTCAAAATCAGAATGAAACGGAAAAGAATTTCTGAAAGGGTGGCGCTGATCAGAGTAACTGAGGTGTGGTTTTTGTTATCAGACCTTGTGCAGCTGAACTAACCACATTAAAACATGGGCATCGCTATCAAACCCAATAAAGACAATAAACTGCCTCTGAATGTTCTCACCCTTTGTTGTGAATAGTGTAATAAAGGGCTAGTGTTTCCCAGCATGACCATTTCTACAGGTGAACAGCACCTTTCACAAAAGTTCTTTTAGACCGGATCTGTATGAGTCCATCAATTCCAATTTGCTGTTGAAGATGCTGTCTGAAACCCATGTAATCTCTGCAGTGTTAGACCTATAGATCTGTGCAGTGTGTTTGTTGAAAATTAAATTCCAAAAATGAGGTTAAGAGATTTGGGATTCTATGCACTCGATGTGTATTGGATAAAGCAGCAAGATTAATAAGGGTTAATATTGTGCAGTGACCTTTGTTGCAAAATGGCATGCATTGGGATGGAAACTTATAAAGCATTGACCTCAGGTTAATTACTCAATCTAATTATTAATTCAAATGATAAAACACATTCAGCAGGGATTGGCAGAAAACGGGTGGGAGAGAGCCAACTGTTTTAAATAACTGCAGAGGATATACAGAGGGCCTTGTTTCTTGGGGCTCATTGATCTCAGCTGGTTCATCCAGACTTTTCCAGTCCTGCAGGCGTCACCTTTGCTCTGCCTGACTAATGGGCAGTCCACTCCAGCAGCTCCCTGCCAACCTTACTGTTTTATTTTTTTACCATGCTGTCACTTAGCTTCGCCATTGTTTTCCAAAAAGCACAATCAAGCAGTAGGAATTGGAGGCATGACAAGCGTTTTTTGCTTGTCGGGATGCACACTGTCCAATTCACTTTCATGCATGGCTTTTTACACTATTCAACCATCTATCCATCCATCTGCTTTATAATCTGCTTATCCAGTACAGGGCTGTGGGAGAGCTGGAGCCTAACCCAGCAAGTAACAGGAGCAAAGCAGGATACGCCCTGGATGGAACGCCAGTCCATTGTGGGGCATACACAGACAAAGGGAGCATATACAAAACTCCACGCAGATAGCCCTGCAGGACTTGAGCCTAGGGCTGTAATGCTGTGAGGAAGCAATGCTAAGCACAGTGCCACCATGCTGGCCACATTTTAATCAGAGGACCTGAAATAAAGGCTGCTTCTTGTCTAGGGTTTGCACAGAAAATACAGGTTCAGTCCGGCCTGTGCCCCATGGCAATCCTGCACTGCGAACCATGTAGCCCAGTGATTTATTGGATTAAGCTATTTTTGTTTTTTTAGCTCATTTTAAAACTTTGCATCTTCTTTTTTCTCTCTTGCATTTATGGCCTGTGGTGAAGGCATATTTGAACTCCCCTCCCCCACTGGCCTCTGGACTGACCTTCCCATCGGATCCTGACCCACTAATCCACACCACCAGACTGTGGTCCCACAGGCACATGGCTTTGTGGTCCATTCTGTTCACAAAGTGAAATGCCCTTTGCACTTTATGTACTGTATGTGTGTGCATCAAAAGCAGTAAAAGATTAATTATACACTGTAAAATGTTTTGTTGTTTCCACTTTAGAAATTGACTGGGACACTAATCGAGAGCTTAATTGAAATATAATTTTCCTTTTAAAATATCTGTCACGGATCCCCCAACAAGGCATTTCCCATCCTCTTCATTAGTGTTTCTTAAAGGCGAAGGTCACATCCTCTGCTTTTTCCTGTTATTTGAGTTCATACTTCTTGCTTATTCTTTTAGCTGCTTCCTGACAAACTCCACTGATGTCGGCTTTCCTATGTGTACGGTTTCCCATGCTGACTGCTACTCATTCCAGAAAAAACAGCTTTTGATTATTATTTTTTTTGTTTACTGGCGAGAAAGCTATGGGATGAGGAAAACCACCATCCTCACGGAGGTCCAAATGTCAGAGAATCGAGACTCCAGATAGCTTCCTATCAACACTCCCCCTGGATCCAAGCCCTTGAAAAGCTTTTCAGATACTGCTTGCATTTGTTCGTTTTTCTTAGAATCCCAGATAATCTTGAATAGAATTCCTAATGCTCTCACTAGTCACAAAAACTCTAGTTACAGAACTCTCTAATAAATAAGGTCAACTAGGATGAGTCAGAGATAGCGGCTTTTGATATTGCTTTTGGGAGTTTCTGCTTGAGAAATCTGTTGTATGGTATAGCCCAGCTCCACCTAGAACTATGTGTTTGGTAGCCTCTGTCAGTAGTGAAGCCACAAGTTCCAAAGCTCTACTTTCATTTCCTGTCTCTTGGGAGGAACAGCAGACAGTGGAGTGACCTTGGTGTTCTGCATAGCAGATTCCTCTTATCCACACGCTTATCATAGCAGTGGTTCAACTGTATCTGAAGTGGGTTTAAAGGTCACATGATTTCCCAAGATAAAATAGTTTAAGTATGAGCGCCTGCACATGGTGGTTAGCATTGCCGCCTTGCGGCGCTGGAGTCCTGGGTTCGATTCTGGACCCGGGGTACTGTCTCCGTGGAGTTTGCGTGTTCTCCTTGTGTGTGCATAGGTTTCCTCTGGGTGTTCCGGTTTCCTCTCACAATCCAAAGACATGCTGGTAGGTCAAATTGGCTTTAGGAAAAACCGGCCTTGGTTGAGTGTGTCTGCGTTTGTATCTGTCTGTCCTAAGGTGGACTGGTAGCCTGTCTATGGTACTGTATATCCTCCCTTGAGCCAGTTGTTTGCCAGAATAAGCTCCAGCTGCCCCATGACCCTGTTTTGGAAGGATATAGATTTCCAAGAATTTATGGGCAGCAATGCTTTGGCAGAATACTGTGAAGGAGCACAATCAATACCACAGCATTGCCAACATTGTCAGGGCAATCCCCTTTGGTTTTCTAACAGGATAACAGGATAACAGCACTACATCGTTCCAGTCCGAGCACTGGAATTGTGGGTGCCATCCTAAATGAGGATACTGTCCATTTGATTACTTTCCTCAGGTTATTTCAGCAAACCCAACTCTGTAGATGAGAATGAAAATTCAATGATGTAAGAACAAGATCATCTGGATATATATAATATGCGTAAGCTGTTATGCTGTAGTTTGAACGAAGGTGACCATTAAATGAAGTGTCCCTGCTACGGTAATTGTTCCTTAATTTTTGGGAACAATATCCATTGTTCTTTTTACAAGAAGGTTTTTCTCCTGTCCGCCTTTTTTTTTTAAACAGCACTCTGTGCAAAATGTGGCTTTTGTCTGAATAAATGGGGTTTTAAATCAGACCTGTCAGGCCAGAAACGAAGACAAAAGCAAGAGCACGTAGGAAAGAGAAGGGAATCTTTTGCCTGTATCTTAACTAATCCTTTTAAAAAGGCACATGGCAGTAATACTTTTCATTTGTACTGAACATAGTTCTTTATCGAACAAAATAAGAGTGAAATGCCTCTGTTTTTGTTCTATAAATTGAACTTCAGTGGATTTGTATTTGATTTGATTTATTTGTATTACTGTTTATTCTAATCAAAGCCAAATAATTTATTTTGTGACAACATCAAATGCACTCTTTTGATCAGTGCTGGATGATAATAGAGACGTTGTGTTTTATCCATATAAAATTGTGGCCTGTTTTCTTTTCATCCTGCATGAGGAGCTTATTATTGGAAGTCCATATTAAAACAAGATCAGAGCAGAGAAACAGATCACCTGGTCTGTGCATATGCTGATGTCTTTTATAACATCACTGAAGTTGCAAATGGTTTGTGGTCTTGTGCATGTGCACAACCTTAAACATGAAAAGTAACAAGCCCCCCCCCCATAAAAACAATCTTTCTACTAACTAATCCAATACTTCCATTGGAAGACTAAACTTCCTAGATACTGCTGTGCTGTGCCTGCTTATGCTCCTGTAGATGTAACACTGGTGTTATCTCCGTCTCAGGACTGTTCCTGTGACAAGGCTCATGTACGTACTTTAAATCCTATAGATGTATCATCTATAGTATATCTATTAATCTGTCCTCCTGTCAACATTTATATCTAACAGCCATGAAATATTCTGTCAGTCTTCCTGTAGCTCATCTGCACTTTCTAACAGGACCTTTATTCTACCTCTTTCCCTGCAGGATGGATCAAAGCAGAAGCAAGTGCGAAAAAAGACAGTCTCCTTCAGCACCATGCCCAATGACCGCAAGATCAGCAGCACAGCTGCCTGCATGTCCTTCATGATGGAGGGCTGTGAGATGAAGAAGGTGCGCTCCAACTCCCGCATGTACAATCGCTACTTCATCCTGGACTCTGACATGCGCTTCCTGCGCTGGGAGCCCTCCAAGAAGGACTCGGAGAAAGCCAAGCTGGAGATCAAAACCATCAAGGAGGTGCGTCTGGGGAAGAAGACTCCAGTGCTCCGCAGCAATGGACTGTCGGATCAATTCCCAGAGGAGTGTGCATTCTCCATCATATATGGCGAAAACTATGAATCTCTAGATTTGGTTGCAAGCACAGCAGACATCGTCAACACATGGGTGATGGGGTTGAGATATCTGGTCTCTTATGGGAGGCACACCGTTGATGTGATCGAAGCTAACCAGCCCAGCCTGAGGACATCATGGATTGGCTCTGTGTTTGAAGTGGTGGATATGGAGAAGAAAGGACACATTGATCTTTTCAGGGCCACCCAGATCATCAAGAGCTTGAATCCAGGCATGAAAGAGTCTAGGATCGAGCTGAAGTTCAAGGAGTTGCAGAAGGCTAGGGATCAATATGGAGAGGATATCACCCTTGACATCTTCACCGAGGCCTACTGTGAGCTGTGCACGCGACCAGAAATCTTCTTTCTCCTTGTGCAGTTCTCTAGCAACAAGGAGTACCTGGACTGCAAAGACCTGATGCTGTTTGTGGAGGTGGAGCAAGGCGTGGAAGGGGTAACAGAAGAGATGTGCATGGAGATCATCCGCAAGTACGAGCCATCCGTCGATGGGAAGGAACGAGGCTACCTCTCCATAGATGGCTTCACGCGCTACCTCCTTTCTCCCGAGTGCCACATCTTTGACCCACAGCACAAAAAAGTCTGCCAGGACATGACTCAGCCACTGTCGCATTACTACATCAACTCCTCTCACAATGCCTCCCTCTTAGAAGACCATTTCTGGGGCTCCTCGGACATCAGTGGCTATATCAGAGCTCTGAAGATGGGGTGCCGGAGCCTGGAGGTTGTGGTCTGGGATGGTCCAGACAATGAGCCTTTGATCTATGTGGGGAACTCAGTCTCCCATCAAGTTGCCTTCTCTAAAATCATTGATGTGATCAACCAGTACGCCTTCGAAACCTCGGAGTACCCCTTAGTCCTCTGCCTGGTGACCCACTGCTCCGTCCAGCAGCAAACGGTCATGGCACAGCACATGAAGAAAATCCTGGGGGACAAACTGTACATGGAGCCGCCAGAAGCAGAGGAGCACTACCTCCCCTCTCCTGAGAAACTGAAAGGAAAGATCCTCCTCAAGGGGAAGAAGTTGCCTCCGAATTATCCCGATTCAGAAGCGGACGTGACGGATGAGGACGAGGGCATGGAGATGTCCAGGAGACATGGAGAAGAGGAGAAGGACCAGCTCAACGGGATCACCTGCAAGAGACTGAGGCTGAGCAAGGAGCTCTCAGATCTGGTGTCCTTGTGCAAGTCGGTTCAGTTCAGAGATTTTGAAACATCCAAAACGTGCCAGAAATACTGGGAGATGTGCTCATTCAATGAAGTGGATGCCAATAGGTTTGCCAATGAATACCCTGAAGACTTTGTGCGATACAACAAGAGGTTTCTCTCCAGGGTTTACCCCAGCCCCATGCGGATTGATGCCAGTAATATGAACCCTCAGGATTTTTGGAAGTGCGGGTGCCAGATAGTCGCTATGAACTACCAGACTCCCGGTTTGATGATGGACTTGAACCTTGGGTGGTTCCGGCAGAATGGCAACTGTGGTTATGTGCTTCGCCCATCCATCATGAGAGAAGAAGTGTCCTACTTCAGTGCCAACGCAAAGGACTCCTTGCCGGGGGTCTCAGCCCAGTTGCTGCACATTAAAATCATCAGCGGGCAAAACCTGCCCAAACCCAAAGGCTCTGCTGCCAAGGGAGATGTGGTGGAGCCGTACATCTACGTGGAGATCCATGGCATCCCCGCCGACTGTGCCGAGCAAAGGACTAAGACCGTCACCCAGAATGGGGACAACCCCATCTTCGACGAGAGCTTTGAGTTTCAGATAAACCTCCCCGAGCTGGCAGCGCTGCGGTTCGTGGTGCTGGACGATGACTACATCGGGGATGAGTTCATCGCCCAGTACACCATCCCCTTCGAATGCCTTCAGCCAGGGTACAGGCACGTCCCCCTGCAGTCGCTGACCGGGGAGTTCCTCGTGAACACCACTCTCTTCGTCCACATCGCCATCACCAACCGCAGGGGAGGAGGGAAGGCGCACAAACGGGGTCTGTCGGTGCGAAAGGGAAGGAGGGCCCGGGAGTACACATCCACCAAAACCACAGGGATCAAGGCTGTCGATGAGCTCTTCAGAGCCGCCACTCAGCCTCTGAGAGAGGCCACGGACCTCCGCGAAAATGTGCAGGTACGACACAGTCTGGGCTACTCTTTCGGATTATGTTTTCTTCTTAGGTATGATCATGGTTATCGCAACCAAGCAAATAGACCACAAACCCTGATCGATTACCACTACAAATAATATATATCTACCAGCTCTTCCAAATGCCAGCCCCTCAACGTTCAATTTTTTGATTCTGTGAATTTGATTCTCAAATACATCCTGACCTCTCAAGAGCGTAGCTGCAATGTAATGAAAAGAAACAAGTTAATCCGAGGTACCTTCAAGCCGGTCTTGTAGAAATTTTAGTAAGATCCTGAAGAGCAAAGTTTTGCGAGAGATCACACTCGTGTATCCTCGAGGTATTATAAATGCAGCAACTAAGTATGGGAATCGAAAACGTTTCTTGAATTTCCAATGCCTCTCGATATATTGGTTTGGTTGAAAGCTGCAGAAATATTAAATATACCAACTAAGATATATTTATAATGTTTCTTGCACTGTATTAAAAGCTGTGTTTCATGTTTGTACCTTGGTTCGTGGATTGGGGATCATTTGTTGGATTGGATTTTTTTCTTAAAGACAGATGGGATTTTGGGAGAAGGGGCCGCTTGGTTTTTATCCAGACTTGGAATCTCCATTTAATTTTATTACTCCACTTTGGAATTAGCCACATAATCAGCTCAACCCTTGTACCAGCAGGGTAGGACTGAGAACCCTACTGGCTTTCCTCTGAAGTGTGAAAAGACCTTGCTTCACACTGAAAGGCCTCTAATGTCTGTTGCTGAGTGAGCATTCACTGGAAGAATAGCAGATCATTTACTGCTGGCACTGCAAGCACCCAGTGACCCAGGGCAGTCACAGGAGTCACTGTTAGTTGGAAAGTCAAAGATAACATGGAAAAGTAAAGCCTACCCATCTCCAGCAGAGAATGGCCAAAACCACACTTGCCACAGTAAGACCTAACCCAGAGTTCGAAATCTGGGCTATAGTTCTTAACCTGCCCTACAGACATTGGTCAAGACAGTAAAGCCTCCAGCTGTAGGACTAGAGCATTTGCACTGCAGGAAAATCAAGTTTTTCAAGGCAGAATGAGATATTTGTGAGCAGTCACAGAGAAATGAATGTTATGCCTCTTTTGAAAACACACCAATTAGAATGAAAGCAAGAGTTGTACCATTGAGCATAATTAGAGGTTAGGGGTAGATTTTAAGTGCATACTTCAATAGGCTGGAACAGAGGAGAAAGAGGATGTTTCTGCATGATTTTGAACTTTGTAATTTTCTGTTTGCAGATTCTGAGGCAGCAGCTGAAAAGGATTATGCTTCCTTGCTAATTGCTCTGTATTTACATGTTATAAAAGCCCATGCAATAAAGATGTATGATTGCTGGGAGGACAATTACAGGCCATTTGAAAAGGGTAATCATTACTGTTGCCCCCTCCATATGTTCAGGGCTTGCATTGGGAGGCTGTTTCTGACCTCTTGCTGTCTTCTATGAGGATGTTTGAAATTCTGAAACAGTCAAGTAATGTTGTCAAGTAGCGTAGGAAGGAGCTGTTTTATTTTAGGTTTTAATTTAAGGCTCTCCTAGGGATACTTAGGAGAAGATCTGGCGTAAGTGAAAATGTTTGTGTATTTTTCACCGAGCACAGCTCCTGATCGTAGCTTGAATGCATTGTGGGGTAAGACTGCTTTTAAAAAAAAATACATTTACTTACTGTATGCTGCAATAGGCCCTGTATCATTTTCTCTCAACATGGAGGCAGACATGCTCACTTACTGTACTGTATCTGAAGGCCAAAGCAAGCAAAACAAAATCTGAAATAACAGCATGGGTATTAACCAGTGACTTTTGTCATTAACAAGGACCGAGGCAGGGTCTGTCGGGTGACTTAAATGTTTCCTTTGCAGTGCTTAGAATGAATTGGGGGTTCTCTGTCACAGATCTGACTCCAGTAAGAGAACTGGTTGAAGTGTTGGGCGTTAAGTGGAGTGCCCTTGAAGATCAGTGAAGGCTAGCTGACTTTTTCCTCTGCAGTTTGCCCAGTAAACACCCTTATCTGCCAGCCAGCACTGTGTAAAACAACCAGCCCCATTTTCTGTTGTGTGACTTTGCCTCTTGGATTAGCATGTCCTCCTTGTCGCCTCAGACACCCACAAAACAAAGACTTGGAACAGTTTGGCGCATCCTGGAGAGATAGACACTCAGGTGGAAATGAGAAGTCCGAAGTAGGGGCGCACTCTCCCCTCAGCAGAGAAACTCCAAACTCTGGACAAGTCCTCAATGGCCCCAGACATGAAAAGCCTCAGGGGAAGCGAGGAAAATCCGTTTGCAGTTTACACACGTTTCGCATTAAAGGCTGCTTCTGGTTTCCTTTCAGCATTTCTATAAAAAGAGACCCCATATTGAGCTGCTCAAGTCTTGGCAGTGACCTCCTAGTCAGCATGCGGCTAACAGACCCAGGCAGCAGGTTGTGAGAACGCTTTCAGAGCTCTTAGAGGGCGGGAGACAATGAGGTGCTTTGGCGAAGCATGCGGCGCAGATGACTGACACAGAGAGCGCGCTTCTGCCAAAAGCAGAATCTGCGGCTTCTAACCATGGAACTTTTTTCTCCAATTGCACAATTTGCCCGCAGAGCGTGAGGGGGCTAAATACATTGCTTTGTGCATTCGGTTTCTAATGTTCTTCAGGATGCATTATTGATATTTTGGAATATTTTTTTCCCCAAGGCAGAATAATATTATAGGACAAGCGTTATTAAAAATGTATGTTCCTTCATATCTTGTGCTTGCACAACTTGCGATAAATATGGCTCAAATCCACATCATTCATCTTTTTTTTTTACATGTCTGAGGGGTCACTGAATTAGAATTTCAGCAGTTGGCTTTGCCTTCTAGACCATTTGTCTTGCAAAAATATGATTTGTATTGTTTTTCAATTCCTCTTTTCTCCGCCTCTAGTGATATAAAACAGCTGTCATCGGGCATTTTTACTAGGTTTAATTTGTGGTTGGGTTGCAGCACTGAAAAGCAAAAAATAGAGCTGGAACTGCAAATTGATTACACACTGTTGGCTCCAACAGCTGGGTGTTTTAATATCTGAACAAGTAGGTGTCTGAAATGTTGCCAGTACCTGTTCTCAGTCCAGTACTTTGGATGTTGGCCTTGAATGCTGTTGCAAAGATTTGGGATAAGTAAAGTGAAAACTGCAGTGAAACTTTCGTTGCGTGATGTAATCTCTCTTCACTTGCATTGCTGCATTCCTCAAAGTTGATGTCTCTCAGGAGCCTTGTAATTAACTGTCAGTTCCCCTTTTCATTAAACTGCACTCATTTGACAGTTCTTTGCCCTTTATGTATATTGAACACCTTCTCATTATGGCTGGTGTATGCAAGGATTGCTTGTGACTTCACTCACCAGCGACTGTGGGAGAAAACGAAAGCACCCAGTGGAAACCCACACAAACACAGGGAGAACATACTGTACAAACTCCACACAGACAGAACCCCAAGAATCAAACCCTGGGCCCCAGCACTGAGAGGCTGTAGGGCTAACCACTGTGCCACCATGCCACCCATGTCGTTATAACAAACGCAAAAAGAAACTATTCCTCAAGCGTCTTCAAGTCTCTTTATCTCACCCCAAATCGGCATACTTAGCTATTTTCTATAGCAGCAAGGTCTCTGAAAGGAAATACTGTACATTTGTTTCCGGTGCACCTCAAAGCAAGCCTTTTGATGTTGGGGATTGTAAGTTTGCTAAAAGTGTTGCCTTACATAAAATGTGTAGCACAGAGAACTCTGATTGCATTTTGTATCCTAAGTGTGTTTTTTTCTAACGTACACCTGTAATTTTATGTACCCAATTGATCTTTGTAATCATTTAACATTTTACTCAAGCAACCACGTACTGTGTGCTATTGTAGTAAGGGCACCAGTATTGTACTGATTTAATGGTTATAAATTACGTTTTTCTTTTTATATGGTTTAATTACCAGGCTAATGGATCTCATGCTGGCTGTGAAACTCACATGTGACCTAGCTAAAATGCATGTACAATGAAAGTTACACTCCCAGAATCTATTGATTTTTTTTTCAGCTGAATATTGCCTTTTTCCAGTGGGATTTCTTATACTTCAAATGGAAATGTGTGAAATATATCAGGATTTGAAAGGCATTTCTTTACATTGAGAGTGGCAAGTGTATGGAACAAAGAGCCAAAAGTCCCCGCCTTATCCTATTTTATTTTCTCCAGGGTCAAGAATCGAGGTCCTGGTAGCCCACACGACAAGGTCTCTGCCTTTGTCACCCGTTTTTAATGTCAAATAATGGCGGCAAAAAAAAAAAAGCTGTTAGTGTTCCTGGCTTCGTTTAATTACAAATAAAGTCCCGTTTCCAATTGAATTAAACCAGAAATCATCGTTAATGTTGGCACAGTTGACGCCTTAGGGAGACCCAGCCTCTTCAGCTTTAGCATGTCACATAAATGACCCTTTTCTTGGGTGGGTGGTATTACTGCAGAGCTCTGCGGTCTCGGAGTGTGTTGTGATTCCACCCCGCTCGCTCCAGTTTCAAAAAGCACCTGTCAGGGGGCAGCAAACTGCACGAGGGGGAGAGACTGCTGACCTTGAGGTTCCTCCCAGCTCCCAGGCAGAGTAACAATAGCTGCAGCTGCAGCTCCACAATCTGTTCAGGTGACAACGTGAAACAAATGGCTTAAGAATGACGTCCGGGGGGGTCTGCCAGCACGGCAAAATATCCTTCTGCTGTCTCAGAAACGTGGAAACAAATATCCCATTGCAGAGCGAGTTTGAGCCATTTCAGATCTCCTCTAGGGATGTGGGCTGATATCTGTGAGCCTTACTGGGTGTTTCATTTTTGTTAACATGCTACAAGAGTGGATCTGCATGGCTACCACATACAAAAGTCAAGCTTTCCAGAATGCAGTTCCTGGTTTCCCCAGGCACTGGGACATCTTTATCCGAGCCCTGCTGAGGGTAGGGTGGGAAAACTGGATGCCAGGGCTCTGAGTGTTATCACTGGTGCTTGTGAGTGCATTCGTACCTCTGTCAAATTCCATGCGCTCGTACTTTCTTAATGGAGATTTTGTTAACACGCCACCCCCACCTGTTCATTTGGTCTCTTATTGCACGTTGTGATGTGATGGTTCTTACTCCGTGGTCTGCATTTATTACTCAGGACCCAATTCAGGATGTACCGAACTATAATTCTGTGCGGCTGAATGATTTGTGTTACCTTGCAGTTTCCCTTTCATTTTTCAAATAAACCTCATCAGGGCTCCTGAAAAACAGAAGGCTGTGAAATTGGCTCAGTCCCTCCCGGCAGGATGAAGTCTGAATGGTACAACGTGATTCGGAGGTCTTCCAGTGTAGCTGCGTCTCCGCTCTGCATAGACCGATTCTCTTTCCTCTTAGCAGAGGTTGGAGCCCTGGGAAACTACATCCTCTTAAAGCATAATAGGGCCTTTCTCTGTGGCCAGACTCCTGATGAGAGATCACACTGTTTCCCACGCTGTGCTGGGCATTCCCAAGACCCAGTTTTTTTTATACACCTTACTGGATCGGTATAGTCGCTTGTTGAAGGCACAGATTCACTAGCCAACCTCAGGGGCTCCTCTAATTAAAAGGACGTTCTCTTTTAACTCCATGCTTGATTGTCTCGCCCATAATACAGTGTATGTCTTTATACTCTCAAGGCTCATTTACAAAAAAAAGTTTCATAATCAGTTCTTTGTTTGACAGGGCTGTTCCGAGCTGGTTTTATCAAATGACTGTCACTCAGTCTGGGAAGCTGTAAGCGCAAGCAACTTAATACCTGCTGAGCAAGCTTTTTTCACTTCCTGACCAGAGACTGAATCAGTTCGATTTGCTGATGAAAAGCAGTGCAAAGGTCATGGTGTCGATCTGTATTCCTTATTTTTTATGCACTGTGCACGCAGTGATGTGAAAACAAAAGTACGCCCTCTTAAGATTTTACATATTGAGACATATCTGACCTTCGCGTAGTCCTCACCAAGTTCTGACAGTCGATAAAGCTAACCTTTATTTATTAAACAAAAAAATCTACTAAAATTCAGAAGCCCTTTACAGTGCTTTAGCTGTATTTTATGTGGTTTTTACTATGTTCGGTCTTGGTACACTTTCATTAGGCACGCAAGCGAGACACTGTTTATTCATGACAGCGTAAGGCACCGTACCTCCAAACCTGTCTGCTTGTTCACACGCCTCTTCTCCTCCTTCCTCAGAACGCCATGGTGTCCTTTAAGGAGCTGTGCGGCCTGACGCCGGCTGCCAACATGAAGCAGTGCATCCTGACGGTGTCGACGTGGCTGCTGAACAGCGACCGGGCCCTGCAGGTGACGGTGAACCTCAGTGAGGCCTACCCCACCATGGAGGCCCAGGGCCCGGTGCCGGAGCTGTTGCGCAAAGTGCTGATGGCCTACGACACGGTGCGTCACCGCGGCAACCTCTGGGGGCCGGCTTGGGGTCTGTAGTGGACTGGGTTGTAATGGCAGTGGGCCTGCCACTAGGCAGTTTAAGCTATTTACAGCTTAGAAACTGTAAATAGTCACAGTTGGGGTTAATTGCCTAATAGCTTAGTTATTAGTTATTTGCTTATGGGATTATTAATAACCCTGTCTTATGTGGGTGTTAAGTGTTAAGTCTTGGTTTGGTATGTAAGAGAGCCCAGACTGACGAATCCCAACACTCCTCTGGCAGCAGATTGCACACAACTGCTTGGCCATTCCAATCGGAGACGTCAGAATCCGCTCAAATTATTCAACAAACAGTAAACAATATATTTCCACTATGGTTACAGCCGTATGATTCCACTTCTGCTGCTGGTGTGTGTGTAACCTCCCGGCCATCATTTGTGGAAAAAATGTAAAAACATTTGCTTTATATCGAATGTGGAGGACGGTAGTATTAGGTTCTGAATTGTTTCTGACTCTGAGCTCTTTGGAAATGTCAGTAAACTGCAATGTTTAATCAGTGCTGAGGAGACTGTATTTCGGATGGAGCAAAATATATTTCTGGCACTGCAGAGGTCAGCCATTTTAGTATATATGATGCATTTGCACAACATATAAGTTCCCCTGGCTTGCTGACCTGCATTAAAATGGTCAGAGTAGATTTAGCTTGGAGTCTGGCGGCTTTTACTGTACTGAAGAGACTGCAGGCGTGGGTATTTTTTTAAGTATTTATTTTTAAATTGCAATAAGAGCTGTGCATGTCAGAAGGCACCTGCATTTCAGACCTATTCCTGAAAGGGAAGCCCACAGGAGCATGATCACACTGCTTTGTCACGGGAGAGTGTGAGCAACTGAAAGGACACTTTTAGAGCAAACAAAAACCAAAAAGTGCGTGCACACAACACCACATGACTCTCCTATCTCTGACCTCTATGACTCCATTGTCTCGGGATGTTGTTGCTGCATCCCTCCTGTTGGGCAGTGGCTTCAGTGGATACTGCAGATTAAGCCATCGGTAAATTATGCATTTGACATAGCCTGCAGGAAGTCGCCTTTTCTGATCCGACTCAAGTCTGCCAGATAATGTGCTCCTGAGCAGCGTTTCCGCATTTCCAGGCCATGTCCCGTGCCCAGGGTGCGAAGCTGCCATCAGCAGGATCATGACTGAACTCTGCCTCTAAGTCCTCTAAGCAGTTGGCGCAGGAAGACCGAGCCATGCGTGGCTGTGCAGGAGCTTACAGCTCAGAAGAGGAGAGAGGTTTGATTTGTATTTGAACAAACAAGTAAACGGGAAAATGTTTAACCGGCTCACGTGTTCAGCAGCGGGTCTTTTCTGCCCGAGAAATATACAGTCTGTTACTGCATCAAAGTGCCTAGAAGTAGCTGATCTGGAGAGCGTTCACTGCTCTCTTGGAGAAGAGTACTTAATGCACTTAACTAGATTTGAACTGCGAATCTTGAGCTGGATTCGGATTTCCTGACGCTTTAAATGCTGTTCAGAAATGCCAGGGCACATGCGTTTAAATTAGGTGCAACATTATATTACATAATGTTACATTATGTGAATCCTTTCCTTGTTCTATTAATAATAGTAATAGCAAAATACCTTGCTTTTATAAATTGCTTTTAATCCTAAAGGAAGATATCTCTTGATGGATGAGTATGAATCAAATCAAATTTTTTCCCCCGGCTTTGTAAGATCAGGGCAGCGTTTGATGCCTCTTATTTGGGAAAGCACTCAGTGCAGATTCCTGATCAGACCTGGTGATGTTCTTTGGGGCAACGGGCTGTGCTCACAGGGAAGTTGTCTGTCAGCTCCTTCTTCTCCTTTTCGAAGTTCCTTAAGAGAAAAAAATTCAGTCTGACCCAAGTCTCGGTATACTCCAGCTCCAGGATGAGAGAGGCGTGATGTCAAAAGGAATACCAACTCCGCGAGCCTCGAAATGTTATGCAGGCGGACCAAAAAATAAATCACCTTCATGCTTTTTCCCAGTATATTCCTTCTTCTGCCCCAGCCATCACCCCCTCCCTCTCCCCTTCCTTCCTCTCCCTTTCAAGGTGTCGGACGAGCCTTTCAAGGTTCCTCAGGCCTTGTGATTGGAGTTGCTTACGTTGCGTGGACAATAGTTATCTGCTTCACAGGACAACTGCCAAAAACGCTTTGAGTCGTCCAGCAGTTCAGTTGAATGAACCAACCAAGAGCAGAGCTGAGACCCACAAAAACTAGGCTCCCACGTGACAAGGAGGAGAGGGCTCCGAGACCCTAGTTTGAAGATCTAAGGGGAGCCCTTCATGGCCACAGACAGAGACTGGAGGCCTTGGGCCTCTCGAATTCATTTCCTGTTGGAGTCACGTCCTCAACAGCGGTGCCCCAAGTTTATTTTTGTCGGCCTTTCTGCCAGTGGTGAGCTCATCCTGCTGGCACTCGATATCAGCGAGCTCAGCAGGATAAATATAGTTCAGGTTCCCTCTCTCTTGTGATGGCTACAGTCCCATCCTGGACTGACGGGCCAGAAAACACCTCACAATTAGACTTAAGACATTATGAAAAGCCTCAAAACTTTCTGGGGGGTGGAGAGGGGGGGAGTGTTTTTCCTCGTTCTTGCCTGCTGCCCCTTTTTTCTCGTGTTTTATTTTCTCCCCCCAGATGTTAATATTGTTCAATAAATATGATAGAATTGAAAAATCCTTCACAATCCAGTCAGCTGGGGATAGAATAATTAAACCATCTTAATTAAAGAAAACGCTGAGAGCATACTGGTCACAGCAGAGGATGAGGGAAGAGCGCTAGGCTTTGTGTTTTTAAATCTGGGAATAGTTTTCGTCTAATAAAACAAAACGTTTCTGCCATTCCTCAATAGCTCTTGAGCTGAATGGGACGTTCTCATAGAAAGCCCATTCAGTCTTCTTCCTCCCCAGGAAGAGCCCGTATTGTTCAGACAGTCCTCGGTACGGATGGGCGCTCTGGCGCGGGAAGTGAGCGAGATGGGGTAATTGCTCGAGCTTCCTGATCGAGGGCTATTCTCTCTCTTTTTGTGCAGATGATCCAGACAAGCCGCACATTGATTGAGTCCGCAGACGCTGTGTACGCCAAGCTCATCCAAGCACAGAGAGCAGGTACGTGCACTCCTCTTTCCCACTCTCCAGCCCAGCGGGTTCCCAGGAGTCCGCCTGCGTCTTCTGCTTTGCAGTCTGACCGCGGGGTTAATTACTGAAGCCGCTTGAACTCTTCAATTAAAGTACATGCTTGATCAGGCCTCCTTTTGATTCTTTCCATTAACGCTAGCTTCAATCCCAAACCAGGTTGGTGGGGTAGGGGGTTAACTGTTTCATTAACCAGTTGTCTGGAATTTAAGCCACAGTTTCTTTTGAAACGTTTGGGGAGCATTTGATCCAGTACTATTGACACCAGTTGTGTGGACTGTACGAATGTATTAAACGATTACATTTCATGGCAGAAAGATTCTTGAAGTAGGATTCTTCCTGGGTTGTGGGACTGCCTGTAGAATATGATTTAAAAGGGTCTGTCTGATTAAGTAAAAAGCTCAATAAAATAGTTTCTTAAGCCTAGGTAATTATAATTAGCAATGGGGAAGAAAAAACTCCAGGAGACAAAATTAGTCCAAGTTGGAAACACAATTGTCTTGTGTTTTTGAATGGCAAACAGCACCACTTTGTGGCCACATTGTGTATCATAGCGTTCTCATCAGCATGGAAGTTTTCTTTTGCACTGTTGCTTTGGGAGAGCATATGGGCATGACCAGTCCTGCTGGGGCAGTTCTGGTAAATGGTGCCGATTCTGTAGTTCCCGTTCTGACCTGTTTGACAGCACAGAGTTGGAAAGTCATGTGTCATTCGGGATGCAGAGGGAATTCATTGGAAACACAGTGTGGTTCAGTGACGCAGAGTGCAGTGACCTGAAGGGGAAATGCAGGAAGGTCCTTTCTTTTCTCTCCTGCCGTGCCCCTCTTGCGGTTAGAGAGAACCACAGGCTGCCATGCGAAATACAGGAGGTCACTTCCTTACAACGCAAAGCAAAAAAAAAAAGTTTGGCCTTTGCAGCTTTCTCTTGTGTTGCAAGAAAACTCTGCAAATCAACAAGGAAAGTCACTCCCAGCTCCCTTTTCTCTCCATTTCTGGCAATAGCATACCGCCTCCACATTTTCTCAGAGGCTCTCACAGCTACAATATCACCACCTCGCATTCCAGGCTCCTACTACGCTGGAGAACAGAAAGCCTTTCTGCCTTCAAGATATTGTCCGAAAATATCTCTTTTGCATTGAACGGCTTTGTTTATTCTGCATTTCAGCAGCCCACATCTTTGTTAATCAACCAGGCTGTTTTGTACAGTTTTTTTTTTTATGAGCGCTTGCTAGCATGCTGTGTCCTGGGCCCCAGATTAAATGGGATCTTTACGATGATCTGCCCCTGCATATCTCCCCTGTGTGACCTAGGGATCAGCAGCAGGAGCAGCTGTAGCTGTGGAATAGATTTAAATGTGTTTTTGCTGATTTAATGGAACATCAAAGGCACAAACTCTGCCAGTTATGCTACGTCCAGTTTTCACAGGACACTGAGCTCAGTGGATTGTCTGTGCAAATGGATGCTTATGTCTTTGCCAACTCATGTTACATTCTGAGGTCACAGCGGCTAGCACTGGGTATCACGCATTCCTCCTGAATTCCAACATTGTAGCAATGGAATAAAATAAAAGGAAATAAATAGTCCTGTGCTCATCTGTCAGCATGTGATCTGCCTTAATTCAACATATTGGAAGCCTCTTAAGTCTTCTTTTTTTGTTGTCATTTTGCAAATGCACTTGTCCACCATTTGTGCTTTCTGGGATAGCAGCCATAAACGACAGAACTATGAAGAGGGAATTGTCCTCTGTGTCTGTCCAGTCAAGATCAGCAGTTTCCCATCACTACAGATGTTCGGCTTCCTGTCTCATCCTTCTGCTTTCTGCTCATGCGTATATTTTATGTATTTTGCAGAATCTGTGCAAGCCTTCAGCGTTCTTTGTGAACAGATGCACAGCGCTAAGCTGCCAGACCCTATGGTGTTTGTGCCTGCTCTTTCTGATGCTTGGTATTATTCCACATCGATGTCTGTATTTTAAGGCAGCTTATTTCAGCTTTTTTGAATGATTCAAATCAAGACTGTCTGTCTAAGAATAGGACGTTTTTGTGTTGCACACTAGGTTTAAATGCTTTAAACGATCTTAGATCTCTTTCTTCTTCCATCCAGACATTCTCTCAAAGGATGAACAGTCCCCCCCAGCTGAATTTCATTGTTTTATTTTCTCATACAGAATTCAGCCCATAAGGCTACATTTTCTCTTACTGGGTTTATTTTACATGCTAGCTGAGAAAGGCAGAGGAAGAGACATTGCATGGTGTTTCCTCATGGAGTTCTTAATTCTTGATGCTAAATGCCTGAAAGCATGGTTTATTCAAACCTCCTGGTGGCCAGAGGTGTGTTGACACTTCACAATCCCATCCTTGTAGAATCCAGAGGACTCCTCTGTCGTGGTTTTGACATCTTGAGTGAAATTAAAAGTTAGCAAACCTACCTTCCTCAGTCTGGATCACTGTGGGAGGATGACTGTAAAGGAAACTGGGTCAGGGGCTGGCTGAGAACTGTGACGTCAAAAACAAACATACTGTACATGGCCGTTCTGGTTACACTAGGGGAAAAACGACTATTGACTGGAAATGTAAAAGAGGCTAAGAACAGCTGTGACTTATTGAATTTCCCTTGCTTTTGTCAGTGCATGCTGATGGTTGAAACGTTTTTTGGGTTTGCGACTATAATTGATTGTAACACGTCAAATTGTACAAAATCCGCTACAAATTGGGGCTCGATGACTCTCTTCCTCTTAAATGCAGCACACCCAGCTGTAATTACAGCCTGCACGCAAGCCCGATTTCCAGTTGCCGTTATGTGGTTTTGCAGGGAAGTGCGCCAGTGTGGCTTTCAGGTGGCAAATTACTGAGATTAATGATGACAATGGACCGGGTGTGCAGGCGTGTGTGTGTTTGTGTGCGTGTTTGTCTGCTTGCCCGTGCTGGGACGCGCCTGTGCGTGTGCTCATGGGTTATTGCAGTTCAGTCCCCCGCTGCCCAGTGGGACCAGTGTGATTGCTGTGTGCACACAGGGCCTGGGCTGCTGGGAACCTAACCTGTCAAGATTAGCTGCTGTAACACATCAGCTCTGTGGCAGCCTGACACAGGGGAGAGAGTAGGCAAGTCGGCACAGGTCCCGGTCATGGTGCGAGAATGAGCTACAGGTTCATCAACAGCTGCAGTGAACTGGTCAGTGCGTTATCGACGGTGTGGCTTTTGTGTACTTGTTAGTAAATGTGACCTTAGCAAAGACCACAGACATTCTGTTCCTGCTTAAGGTGTCTGGTAGCCAATACGGCCTGTGGTGAGGCGTGAAGTGAGCAGACTGCTGCTCAAGCTGTCATGAGGATGCTGGTCTGGAGCAGGGGCCTGGCTCCTGCGTGGGCTGTACCATTTGTGGGCTGGGATGGGGGGGTGGTGGGCAGGCAGGGAAGATCGATGTGACAGGTCAGGATTTACCCTGGCTGAGAGAGTCGAGGTCCCCATGTTTGTTTTTCGCAGGGCTTTCAGTGAAGTCGCCGCATCACCCATTTACAAATAGCCGGACTGGGGCAGCAGGAGGGACGTAGGGGGAAAACTCCAATTCAAATGACTATGAAAAGACAATTCCAATAATCACTGACAAGACATGGATGCAGTAAACTTTCAATAAACTTGATCTGCTGTGAAGCTGGCTTGAGGTACTGTAGATACGCCTGGTTGGAGCATTCAGTTCATGTACTAACACTGCAAAGACTGTAGAGAAAAGCTGCTTCAGAAGGGGAAGCAAGTGTTCTCTGATAAAACTGTTTTTTTTTTGTTAATGCCCTGCAAAGACCAGAGCCAGCTTGACGATGACTGTATTGTAGGCTTCTGGTAATAACTTATCACGATTTGGGCGCGTTATGAATTACCATCTAGCCCGTTGGGGGAGATTATATCTTCCCTGCCGCTACATTAGGCCCTCTCGGTGGTATTATCACAGGATTAAGTTGTTTCACAGAAAATTAATCTACTGGTGCTGGCCCCCGGTCAGGAAAGAGGAGTGGGCACGTTCCGGTTCTGCAAGAGTGGGGGAGAGTGGAAGAAGCTTCAAATAAACAAAAGCTGTTTCCATGAAGCTAATCCCTCGACTCTCTCAATTTCTCCAGCTCTGCCTGTATGCACTTTGTAGCTAGACGAAGGTGTGCATGATACAATCACTGGAGCCTGGAAGGTCCCAATGATTCTCATATTTCTGTTCTGTTCTTGTTTTTCTTTGTAGTTATATCTCCCAGAATGGATTCACTCACACACAGTTCTTATTGTGAGCACACAATCATATCAGGAGTCTGTTGAGCTCTGTCCCTCTGTAAAGCTAGTGTGGAACTTTGTGTGCTGTGTGCCATCACGTGCTATGGGGCCTGTTGTTCACTGATCAAATCGCAAGATTGGAGGGACAAATGGAATTTATTTAACACAACCATCAGGCATCGAGCTTTAATTTAGTGTGAAATTGCTTGAGATTGATTTTCCAATACACATGTGAAGAGAGAAAGATCAGAGAATGCAGGTTTTGTTGTAGTCCACTTAAGAGCATGTATACAGGGTGATCTCGACATCTGCTCCTATACAGTAGGAGTATCGGACTTGTTTCCTGAAGGTTCTAGTGCAGGAGTGTCCAGTCCAGGTACTGGATGTGTGTCTACAACTTATTCCAGCCCAGTTCTTAACAAGCTTAATGGGCTAATTACTCATTTAACTAGATTAATTGAACGGCTTCTCTCAGCCCTTTAGGTTCTGCTGTCTTAAAGAGACCTGCAGAGACATCTGTGCTCCTGGAGCAGGATTGAAAAGCCTAGGCCTAGTGAGAGCTTGGGTTGGGTTGGCCTAAACATTTAATTTAGAGTTGTCATACTTAGAACAAGGCTCCAAAGTGTTCGATAAGTTACTGTTCTCTGAAGGAAGTGATTGCTCTGAGTAATTAACCACACAAAAAAAACCTGCTTATATCTAAGAAAATAACTTAAGTTA